ATTATTATTATTATTATTATTATTATTATTATTATTATTATTATTATTATTATTATTATTATTATTATTATTATTATTATTATTATTATTATTATTATTATTATTGCTGCCAATTACTTTGAGGAAGTATAGCAGGAAGTCTAACCGAGTATAAATGAATGCAGTATGAATAAATGGCACCCTGCAATTTGTATTACTGCAACTCCTTTCATTAAGAAGCAGGTTGTTGTTGAAAATACATATTTATAGATTTCTAGAGGCGTAATAGTTATCAACATGAATGTTAAGGAAACCTGTAGGGTTTTAAGAAGGAGTATTTTAAAACTGTAAAAAGCTGTTGAATAGTTCTGGTCCAGACTCCCAGGATAATAATCACATAATTGTCATTACAGCAAACTGCGTAATTTTGTCACTGCATTCTCATTCTGCTGTTGTATTTCACTGTTGTCACTGAAAGCTATGAGCCAACTTCCTAGGGAGGACATCTGATTCCTGAATACAAATTCTGTATAGCTTCCCCCTGCAGTCTTTGACAGCCAAATACCTTGCATTTGCAGGTTGTACAAGGAGAGCCAATCATTGTCCATACAGAGCCACTGAGTCGTGTTGTCCCGCTGCTATCTAGGCATGTTTTTCTGATATCATAGGTAACATTATCAGCCAAACAGGGGTCACTAACACAACGAGGGCAACATTCTCCTTCTGATACTGCAGTGTAGTCACAGTTCAGGGTTGGGCATGCAAGTGGCCAACAATCCACTTCACCTTCCTGTGAAAACAAAAGTGATGGATGGGCAATGAATAACTGTCTGAAGCAACTACCTACATTTCCTGTACCAGAGCGATCTGCCAATTGAACCAGGAATTAAATCAGTGATGTTATAACCTGTTATAACCTGTTATATTTAAGAACAGCATAATACTTTCTATGTGTGACACTACTCCTGAACCTTTTTGTAAATGATACTTGACGTCTGGTAAAACATGTCTGATAGGAATACTTTGGCCAACAGTCCTGTCCACGTGTGCAGCAGACATGGGGTCAAGCAAAAGTGGATCATTCCAACATCTATGGGTTCACCGACACACCTGAAAAAAAATGGAACTATGCCCAGGTGATCCATCTGAGGTCAGACCACCTCAAACATCTTTTTCATCTGTCTGACATAAAATATGCATGTTGCATGTTGTGAAAGGTTTGTACATACATACTTCTTTGAAATAGGTATGTACAAAATGCAACATCTGACAATTCCATGGACTACATGTGCTAGGGTATGTATTGGGGTGCATAGCATAGGATGCATCCCAGTGATTGGCAACTTTGCCAGGTCTGGGGGGGGTGAAATAGATAGACCACACTAAATGGCAAAAACCCCATTATACTGGAGATGGCTATAAAAATATACATTTCGGACACTGAAGAGTGTGTGTGTGTATGTGATCTACTAACAAGATAAATCACCAATCCTGGAGGCTCTCAGTACAGAGCAGCTTATATAAAAGGTGTTGCATGCAGCTAGTAACATGTAGATCAGTGGTGTCCAACCTTGGCCCTCCAGATGTTCTTAGACTTCAACTCCCAGAAGCCTTCACCACCACTTCTGCTGGCCAGGATTTCTGGGAGTTGGAAGTCCAAGAACATCTGGAGGGCCAATGTTGGTTGATGTAGATATTAATGGCACAATGAAATGTTGCTGTGCTGATGTAGATCACATGTGTACATTGTGTATCCAGAAGTGTATCTGTATTCTGCCTGTAGGCATTAAAGGGCCACGTGCCTAGTTCTGATTGATAAAACCACATATCTGGCCATATAAAAACCTGCTGTTTGTGGCTTATGGTGAAAGGGAAATAATAAAAAAAAAAAATCAGAGAAATATACCAGTGCTGCCACTGGCTACATATTTATCATGTTACGACTAAATGCTACATAGTAGTTTACAAACACTAAGAGTTAATGGCACGGTAGTTAATACATCCAGCAATCATACTATAACTGACATATAAGAATGTGCTGGTAAATAATTTATGGCACTATTTTCCAATGTGAACAAGTATCTTATAGCTTTGTATACCTGAAACACCAATGTAATCCAGTCATGATGGACTTACTGGCAATCAAGAAAATGTGGTTCAACTTTTTGTAAATAGGGCTGTATCCCCCTTGAAGGAGCAGGGATGTATTTATTTCAGTAAGCTTTTAATGTGTAATACCTACTTTTATTGTTGTCAGTTTTAATCCGTAACATCTTCTACCCTTCCTGCTGCTTCTAGATAATGGTAACACATAAAAATTCCCCTAGAGTGAAAAAATTATTGCTGTACTTATTACAATCTCAATGTGCCTCCGGTTTATAAGGTGAAGATATCAGTTTTTTGCATAATTCTTGAGAGTCTTTAATTCATGTTGGCCCTTCTAACCCCTTCCTTTATGAAATGTTTAGACTATTAAGTTGTAAAGGTGGGAAGGCAAAGCAAATATGACTTTGAACTTCCCTTGATGCCAAGCCCAAGATGATGTATTAGATAAGATATTTATGTTGCTCAGATAAGTCTAATGGGCACATCTTATTCTTATGGTCAGTGTTTGCACTAAAACTTGAAAAATTCAGATTTTAAATGGAAAAATGTGACCATCACCTCTCTGTCACCATTTCAGATCATGGCCTAGAATATACGTTTAATTCTTTTCTATATTCAGTTTTGATATTACTATAGTAAATTACAATATTTTTACAGTGTGTTTGGAAAACATGATTAATACATCAGAAAACATTAGTGTAATCTATGGCTTCTTCAAATAAGCTAGGATCAAACTATGGCTTATTATTGCTTATTAATAAGCTAGAATTGCAAAGTTTGAATATAATGGAAAATTACTCTGAAGTCAGAAGCAGATGCTTCTTAGGCTCACTTCTGCGTGTTCTCATAATACCAACTGGTGGTTTAAAATTACATCTCAACTAGGTCAATGAAAACAAAATTGCTTTAAGAAGAACTGATAGAATTTTAATGACATAGTATACAATTTAACTCAGGTGAAGTACTTTTCATTCCCATGGTTAAGCATATGATTAAAGCTTTCTGAAATCCATGGGTCTTACGCTTGCAATTATATATCCATTTACCTGGGAATAAGCTCCACAGACCACAGTGATATTTCTGAACAGGATATTATACAGCTGTACTGTTAGAGTATTTAGCTTTGCCTGAATTATTTCCTTTGATCCTAAGAAGTTCTAATACAGACTAAGAAAAAAATCTAAATAGTAGCTCTCCATTCTGCATTCCTGTTACAATAAATAACCTTTTCTTAACTATTGTATGAGTGTCAAACATCAGAATTTGTGTTGTTCTGATACAATGTACAGTTCAATAGTAAACAACTATGTGAAAAGGCCAGATATTCTTCAAGGTTCTTACAAATGTGTCATAATAATGCAAGCTTGAGTTCTGAATAAAGTTTGATCATCAGAAACCTATCACTCATGGATCTCTTCAAACATTTTGTTGGATTCCATACCAGACAACGGCACTGTTGACAGCTGTATGTCCAGTTGTCACCACTTCGATACAGTTTGTGGCCATTCTGGTCTAAACACTGACTGGTTACTCTGGTATCACATTCTGGGCAACAGAAAAAATCGACACTGGGATTCTGACAATCACAAGTTGTCCGTCGACAAAATATCTTGCCATCCTATCAAGAAAAAAAATCAGTTATAGTAAGCAAACACCACCAAAGAATAAATATAGCAAATTAGAGTAAGCCTAGAAGTGGGTTTGCAATCCATGTTTTACAGTCTTAGTAATTTTGCACTTTTGAAGCTAAACACTGACATTTTAGAACTATATAATACTCATTCATAAACAGTAATTAATGGCATAATAGTTAGTGGACTGCATCCAAAGAACGGGGAAGAGAAGGGAAATAGACATTACCTCAAGAGTTTATGCGAGAGACTACATGTTTTCATGCTTTAACTTATGAAAGACATTGCAAGTGGAAGCATAATTTGGAGTATCTCATTATGGTTAAGTAGCTATGGTGGTGCTATGTGATACGTATAGAGTTGTGTCTGACTTCAGGTGACCCTATGAATTAACAGCCAGGTTTTGCAAACTAAAGGCCAAACTAAATTCCTTTTTGCAATAATGAAAGCATAAAGTCATTACATCACAATAATAACTTAGCGACAGATAATGCCACTCCTTCAGCAGTGAAACATTCGTGAAGAAATATCATCACATGGTTTAAACCAGGGGTGTCCGACCTTTCACCTTCCCTGGGCCACATTACTAGATGAAAAATTAGTTTGGGCCGCACATACATTTGGTTTGGGCCACATGGGGGGCAGCCCTAGCCTGCCTCTGCACCCCCGCTCCAAGCGCGCTTACCAGCAGCTGCGATCTTAGACAGCAGAGGCTGCCAGCTTCGACTCCGGTGGCTTTATGGGGCCGGGAGGGGGTCCGCCTATTGCCGACGACGGTGCAATGCAGTCACGCAGCCCCCCTGTCCCCTCCCCTCCCCCTCCTTCCTTCCTTCCTTCCCTCTCTCCCCCTCTACTGTTGTGACATGCCCCGGCCACATTCTAGCCGCAAGCGCCGGCAGTGTAACTTGAAGCTTTGGAATTTCTTTAAAAATAAAAAATTGCACTGGGCCACATTATGAGCTGACCTGGGCCGCATGTGGCCCTCGGGCCGCAGGTTGGACAAGCCTGGTCTAAACACTGCCTCACAGTGCTGTTATATGCTCTGTTGTTGGTGCTGAGATGACAAGGTGAAACTATGCTCTGCTCTGCATTACAACCAATTGGATTTTAGTAATCAAAGTGTTTGTTGAAATAACTATTCCAATTAGATATAAAAAATGGGTGTTCCTTTAAAAATCAGAACTGTAACTGGCTACCTCTGGTGCCTTGGAACTATAAATATACTTTTTTTTTAATTCTCCAAGCTCTAAGTGGAAGAATATCTTTAGCTTTACTTTCCCTGTTCTATGTGGTTCTAGCATGAGATCTAAAACACCCTTTACACTTTATGCCTCCTACACACAATCAAGCACCTTCAAATCAAATTCTAAAACAATCCAATATATTGGTATTTATTCAAAGTAGTCAAAACGGCAATTACAGTTTCTCAAAAATATTAATGTGATTTCCTTTAGCATCAGTATTAAAAATCAGCTGCACTGCCCATGGACCTTTTGTAGTAAATTATATAATTAGCAGACTGATGAGCTTCTCTTACCTCTTTGTAAATGATAACTTTCTTTAATAAGGAAGTCATAATTTGCTCTAATTGAATCAAGGTGTGCTAATATTTTACCTGATCCTGCTTCTGAGATGGCTCATGTATATACTTAACATTATATATTTTTTAATCCTCCAGAGACTTAAAAAAATAAGTTGGGGTTGCATTCCATGGGACTTCTAAAATGTGTGAAGCTTCCCCTGTCATATTTTGTACATTTTTATTGGTTTCACCTTTCTAGCCCATATCTGAAGCCCTGCCTTATTCCATTAACTTAATATCTTTCAGATTTTTTATCAAACCAAGCTTTATCAAGCTTCTTTTCACATTGCTACTTTGGCAAGGAAGGGACGCTTTCTCATGGAGATTGTGGGAGTCAGGCATTTATTAAGGAAGAAATGGTAATGACATTAAGAAAGCAACGTAAGCATTCTTCCAGAGATATATATGGGTGGAAAACTTCTCAGCTTCTGAAATTGGCCCACAAAGTAGTTGCTGCCCCTCCCCTGCAAAAACTTATCCCCTCTACCTTGAGTAAAGAAAAGTTTCTGTTACCTCTAGGAACAGTTTTCTTTGCAAGAAATATTTTGAATGAATATGCAATTGTATGGCTGATACTTATAATAAATTACAGCTTAACAGGTGGTCCCATTAAATTAACAGCAACAAACTATGCTACAAAATCAGGACTGTCAGTAGAATTTCATATAGCAAGTTAATAGACAAAATTATGATCCTTTCACCTACATTTTTATAGATTTTTAACACCTTGACTTAGAGCTTATTAAATGAAAGACATAGAAGAATAAATATCACCCTGTATAACCAACCAGTCTGGGCTTATGTTCATACTCTTTTTCTGAAATCCTTGAGGGAAATGCCTTCTCAATAATTTCTGGAAACCCATTCTTATTTTTACTTTTCTAAAAATATGCTTTCCCATCACAAATACAAAATATTTATTCTCTGCATAGAACCCTGCATATTGGAATAGCTACAGATTAAATCAGAATCTTTTTTATAACCACAGCATTAAGATTGCTGCCAAATTTTTTAAAAAACAAACAAAAAGGCAGTATGTTTCATGGAAAAGAGAAAATGAATTTATTCAAATTGTGGGAATGATAATTATAGGGATTATAGTGCTGGAAATTCTACCTGTTATTATCGGTGAATAAACAATTTTAGTGCTTTTACATGCAGGGAATAAAACTGAAATCAAGAATACTAATGAGTTGTGCTTTCAAAACCCGCACTGGCACATTTGTTTGCTGAACAATTAATTGAAGCAAAAACAAACACCAAAGACAACTGTATTCAAAAACAGAGTGTTCAAGGATTTCTTCTATTTTAAGGTAGGAGATGGGGCCCCACCACTACACAGCAAATTTCTTTCACCACATCATGTCCCTTGTCCTCTTCCCTTCCTTATGCTCCCTCTCACTTGCTCTACTGAACAATAAAACCACAGCTAGTAATCACAGAGGAGCAGAGATGGCAGAACCCAGCAGTGAGGTAGCAAATGAAGGTGGAGTTGTTGCTAAGAACTCAGGGTCCTTTCCTCCAATTTAAAACAGGGGCTAATTAGCTAAAAACTAAAAACAAACAAAAATCTCAAGTCTGGTATAGCCTTTCAAACCTACTGCCTCCCACTACATAGAACTAAAATTTCCATTTTTCCTAGATAACACACAGCCAACACTAACCATTATGGCATAAGAAAGCTCTTCTCTGCTTTCCCTCAAGGACATCATGCATTCACTGCAGAATAATGAAAACTCAACTGAGTCGGATCATTCTATGCTACCAAAAGAGAAGAGTGCACATTGCAAGCTTGCAGCAGGTCTTCACTCCCTTATATCTCTTTCCATTCCAGATTAAACTATGTGGCATTCATACACATTGCTCAAAGCAGCCTTGTGTACATGTATAACTGCAGCAATATGTTTTTTTCCCTTTGGTATCTTCTACTAATATGCAAGGGTGCATATTATGCCACTGGCAGGGTGAGGACCCTTCGCTTGGTCTCATGAGGACGTCGATGTTGTGATGGCTCCTGAGAAATGTGGCTGGTCGGTTGGTGTCTGGACAGCTGGGCTTGGCATCGATTGCAGGCATTGGGGTGACTCTGTTCAGCATATCGAACTGCTGATATGTCCCCCCTGTTGCCTCCCTTTTGTTTGGAGGTTCAGACCTTTGGTGCCCGATACCTTTTGTCTCCGGTTGCCTTGGTGTTTTCATCACCTTCCTCGACTGGGTATGGCTTGCAGCCTTGTAATGCCACCTGGTGGCAATGACCAAGCCCTAGAAAGGAATGTCTGTATTACCAACGTTGTTGTTTAGCGGTGACTGGATTATTCCTGGCAGTGAGCCTGTTGGGAGGCCTGAGGCTGGATTTGACCTGGGGGGGTAGTCTAGGTGTGCAGCGCTCTGTCTTTTATTTTATTTTTAAAGTCGTAAAATTTTTTAATTGTTTTAATTGGTTGTTGTTTAATTTAAATTTACATGTCTATTCTTATGTTATGGTTTAATTACTTTTGTTAATCTGATTATTATTGTATTTTTTGTTTTTATTAATTTGTAAATTTTTCTGGTCGTTAGGCGCTGTTAGGTGGTGAGGTTAGGTCTTGAGGCCCTACATGTGTTGATCGGGGGCAGGGATGATATTGGAATCTTGCTGGGTTACTGCACTCCCCATGATCCATCCATTTCATCTCTGCAGCACTGTTGGAAACTTCGCACTGATCTTGGGTGATTTCAACAGCCATGCGGAGACAGATCTCGAGTTCTTGGAAACCATGGCTTCTTAGACATGTCCCAACATGTCAATGGCCCCACCCATGTGGGCGGTCACACAATAGACCTAATGTTTTCCCTCGAATGGAGTGAGTGTGGTCTGATGGTGACTGACATTGTGTCAGTCCCCTTGTCATGGTCAGATCACCACCTAATTAAATGCAACCTCTCAGTGGCTCTCCCTCCCCACAGGGAGCAAGGACTTATTTTAATGGTCCACCCTCAAAGGTTACTGGATCCTATAGGAATCCAGGATTCCAGCTTATCTGACTGGTGCTCCTGTCGAGGCTCTGGTTGATGACTGTGTTGCTGCTGCTACCAGGGCTGTTGACACAGTTGCTCCTAAACACCCTCTCCATTGCAGAGCTCATTCAGTACCCTGGTTTAACCAGCAGCCCGGAGCTATGAAGCAGAATAGGAGAAGGCTAGAGAGCAATTGGAGATGAAACCGGACAGACTATAATTTGAAAGCTGTCAGGATCATGGCTAGGGTAAGGGCTGCCAGTCGAGCTTACTTTGCTTTTCGGATAAACGAAGCTTCAAATCAGCAGGCAGAACTTTTCCGTATAGTTCACGATCTCCCGGAATTAGTCTCAGTGATTGGCCTCCTACTAGTATTTCACCTGACCAATTTGCACCATGTTTTAAATC